GAGTAAGACGACGGAGAGATCTTGGTCGTTTGGTCGTCGTAGCGGCGGATCGTCGACGGCGAGTAAAGGAGGAGCGACGATCGGTCAGTTAAAATCCTCGTCGTGGGCCGTCGGGAGAAATTGGTCGGCGGCGAAGCAGATCCATGCGATGACGGCGAATCTGAATCCGCCACGTGGCAACGAAGCGGCGGGTTTGCCTCAACCGATGTTTATAATGAGCACGGTTATGGTTTTCGTGATGTGGGTTTTAACCGCGGCGGTTCCGTGTCAAGAGAGATCCGGTTTAGCTAACCATTTACCGGTTCCGCCGAAACATTTGAATTGGGCACAGAGTTTGATCGGAATCCATGAGAAGATCGGAGACGAGTGGAAGAAGAAAGAGAAGAAAGGATCTGCTGGGTTAATGGAAGAGATGACGAGGATGGAGAAATTAGGTCATTCGTTGATCGAATTCGCCGATGGATTTCATTATCCGGCGGAGAAAGATGCGGCGGAATCTGCGGCGGTGCAAGTGGCGGAGATGGCGGAGATATGCCGGAGAATGGAAGAGGAGCTTGTGCCGTTGCAGCAACAGATCAGAGAGGTTTTTCATAGGATCGTGAGGAGTCGTGCGGAGATTCTTGAGGTGTTGGAACAAGCTGGGAAACTTTCGGCGCCAGTTGTGTAAAGGTTTTGAATTATTGAGGATAAATTTCGAAGTTTTGTAATTCTTTGGGGGGGTTTAATAGGATATTTATTTACTTTTTTAGTTCCGTTTATTGTTTTTTTCTTGGGCTTTTAGGCCCATATCATATGTCTTTCTATATTTAATTTTGTTAAACTTCGTTAATGCAACAAAAAATATACAAAACCAATTGGATATCTACACCAATTCGATTCATGAACATTTTAAATTGAAGACAGAACAACATCCGGACAGAAAAAAAAAAAAAAAGGTTTCGTTGTATTCTTAATTGTTGTATAATCAATAGATGATACGTAGTCAATTGATGTGTCACCTACTTTTTATACTACAATAGATCGAACCAAATTTTGTATTGCGGCTAGAACATGCTAATATGATATAGTTTGGAATTGTTCGATCCCAAATTTTGGCTCTTTGCCAGGAACTGGAACCAATGTTTTCAGATCCAACTTAGACTCGCGGTTGGATCGGTAAACATGGCTGTCCGGTCACTAATCGATAGATTCAATCCCGAAAAAACTCAGAAAAACCATCATTGACCGCAACCCGATATTGTTGGTTTGTTGTTCGGATTCGGATTTAAATCATTGTGTGGAACGTTATCTAGATTGACTGACCACAAAGATGTACAAAAACATGGCAAAGTATATTTTTATCAATATAAAAAATATCTCTTTGTCAGAGAAAAAGTCTCCCTAACTCTTTGTAACTTTTTTTTTTGGGTTGCAAAAGGACAAAAAATGAATTAAAAGCAATAAGACACCTCAGCTCCATTCTTCACTAGTTACCCATCTTTTCACTAATCAGGAAACAAACTCTTTAATCACTTTATGCCCTTTAGCTTTGTTCTAGAGCCAACACTCCAGAAAACTCACACTTGCTTCCAATAATTTATCTCATTTTGCCTACAAAATGTCTCCAGGTCCTTCTTCTTCTCTCTCTCACTCTCGCACCATCTTCTTCCTCGATTTTCAAACCCTAGA